ATTGTTATTACTATTATTTTTATGTGTATATCCGTTACAGCTACCGTAGCCATTGTCAGGTAATATAATGTGATTTCTTATATGGTTAGTTAGCCTAGAATTTTTGTATGAATTTAGTTCTGTTTGGATTGAATTGATTAACTGAGTTTTTGTTACAAAGTGTTGTTTTTTAAATTTCTTTTTTATGTTTCATTCAATTAGAGTGGTTTTCTTTTTTTAATTATGGAGTCTAAGTTTTTTTCTTATATGGTCAGTTATAAAGTGTGTTTTTTCTTTGTCTAATTGCTTTTGATTTTGTTTCATACTCCCAGTTGACTAATTATTATTATTATTATTTTATTTTATTTACAAATAAGCGCTTTTTTTTTCTGTGTTCGGACTTTCAATAATATACTTTTTCGGATTTGGCTTTTGGACTTTTTTTAGTTCCTCATCATATAAATAGTTCAGGTCACTTCTTCTAACTAATTTATGGGGAAGCCTTTTATCAATTTGAGGGGGAGAGGAAAGGAATGATGTTTCTATGTTTATTTGTGTTTTTATACATCATTTTTACGTACAGAAAAAAATAAATTTCTCAATTTTTAATGGGCTATCTTTTACTTTGTTTATTTACCATGGTGAGGTGAGTTCGTTTTTGCTATAACTTGAAACCTATGCGAATTTACATTATTTTTCATTCTCATATTTATGATCAACCAGTTCCAAAATCATTTTTTTGATATTTTACAACCTATAAAGTTTTGGAAGAAATAGTTCCAACAATTAAGCATATACCCTTTGGAGGAATCTTACTACAAAGCTATTATCAATCTCTAAAACTAAGTATTGATTTGACATAACCAATGGAGAACATCAATAAATCATCTTACTAATATTTAAACTTATTAGAATACTTTTATATTTTGTCTAGCATTTATTTCAAGACATATATTTGATCAAATTTATTTATATTTAAGAAGTAACACTTATAAAATATTTTTAAAATCTTGAAACATTTCTGAAACGTACCTGGCCAAATATAATTTTTTTTTTATTCCAAATACGAACATTTCTGTGATCACACTTATAAAACATTTCTAAATTCTTCAAACATTTCTAAAATATATTGGGCTAAATATAAAATATTTTTTTTTCAAATATAAACATTTCTAAAATTTACATATACATTGGCCCATTGCGCGACCAGACATCACTTGTTATAACTAAAAACAAAATACCTACAATCCTTAAGCCTAGCTACCGGATACCACAAAACCTTAACTAAATCTATAACACAAATTAATTTATAATAAAAACTACACGAAAGCACTAATTAAATTGCAAAGTCAACAAGATTTCGCATTGTATCAGATTTTAATAACCATCATCACTATTATTTTCGTCGCTAAAGTAAGTATCACTATTGTCAGCATTGCTTTCATCCGCCGTAAAGTATTGATCATCGTCACTGTCATCATCACCATCGTTACCAACGTCGGCAATATCATCATCACTGTCGGCATCATCATCTGCGTCGGCGGCAGCATCATCATCTCTGTCGGCGGCCGCATCATCCTCGCCAGCAGCATCATCATCTCCATTTGGCGGCAGCATTCCCGTCATGTTCATCAAACTCACTGTCGCTATCATCAGTATCAGGATCAGTATGATCAATGTCATTGCTAAATAATTCCTCCGAACTGCTGGTATCCATGCTTTTGGTCTCTTTTCAACTTATTCGAATTTCTTGGTTATCCGTAAGACAATGCAGGGGGTTATGATTTTATAGAACCTAACAGTATCAAGATGCCCTCTATTTATAAAGATCCTTCTTTGACGTTTAGGAAATTATTGTTAGAAACATCTATTTCCTAATTATGAAATTGCTTCTTGAAAACTGCCAAATTCGCAAAGAACTTCAATTGACGCGGGAACCATCTATTTCCTCTTCTTTTTTTTTCTTTTTTTTTTTTAACGTATGCCCTTGAAGGCAGTGACATATTATATTATTATCATCTATAGTACTCCCTCCGTCCCATAATTATTGTCCACTTTGCCCAAACAATTTTGTCCCAAAATTATTGTCCAATTTGACTTTTTGTGGACCAAATTACACATTTGTCTTTAGTAAAAAACATTATTCATAAAATCTTAGTGGTTAAACAATTACTTATGTAGGGGTATATCTGGTTGTTTAAGGTAAAATATAGTTAAATTTGACCAAAAATAAAATCTTTCATTTTAGTAAAATTGAACAATAATTATGGGACGAAGGGAGTGCTTAATTAAAGCAGCAAACAAAAAGGACATGTCTCAGCAATACAATGAAAATTTTCCCGCCCAAAACTATTTTCAGTATAAAATCATTTTTCACACGTGGCACTAACAAATCAGAAAAAAAAAGATAGAATAGATAAATACATAAATCCCTTCTTTATAACTACATAAAAATATCTTAATTATAGGTATATACTAACCCTTGAAAACAACAATATTTAGTTGATAAAATCAAATGTAAGGAAATCCCCTTAAATCAAGTGAAACACCAGTAATGTCTTCCCAATCCCCAATTTCAAAGAATTTCTTCCATTCTGCTCCTCTCTCACACCGGGCCTTTAAATCAATTATTTAAAATATGACATCAATTATCAATCCATCTCTTTCTACAATAGAGAAAAAATAAGCTGTCATGAATGATTTTTTAAGGATGATTTTTTTTTTATTCTTTTATTGTAGATATTGGTTTATGATTTATGTAAACTGAGGCATAAGTTAACTGTTATAAATTAAATATTGTAAATCTGGGCATAGATTTATGTGTAATAGCTCACTTTCTGTCCTTTAAATCGATTTTTTATTCTTTTTTTTTCTTTTAAGAATGATTCGTATTTTTTATTTAATTAATTTAAAAATACAGAGGACACCCCGGGCATTCGCCTGAGGCAAGCATCTAGTTCTTTTTATTACTGACATGTAACTAGACATTAGGTTAATATTTTATCCCCATTAACTCTTGCGCTTTGGGAAGAAAATTGGCGTCCACTTTAACAAACCGGGGTTTGTGAATAAATCCAATATTGTTGAACATAAATTGGATTTATTTATTTCCTACATATGGCGATTTTGTTTAATATGCGGACTCCGTTAGTAGTTTGTTAGATTACTTCTCTAAATAACATTAAAACATGGGAAGCTCCAGCAACTTGTGTGACATAGTTCCTGCAATTAACGTGGAAAAAAATCAACTGTCAAAAACTCATCATCGGCTACTTCTTCATCAATGGAGGATTGATTAGGCGGAAAAATTAGGCGGAAAATTGCTCAGATATTGATGCAGACTAGTCCCCGTTCTATCTCTTTCTTCATTAGGCCATCATGGCTATGTTCACATAAATATCATGGTGTTAAGAATATTATAATTAAAAGCTTTTTTTTGGGGGGTTTTGCAGAATGTGTTATCGTGGATGCCTTGACAAAGATAATGTGAAGGGAAAGATTGTTTTATGTAACATAACTTACACCTTCTCCGACGTTCCCGAAGTTGACCGAAGCGGTGCGGTTGGTGCAATATTAGTCGATGGTCATCCTCAAGTTGCTTCGGTTACCTTTTATCCATTCTCCTGTCTTAGTCCTCAGCAGTTAAAGAGGTTGTTGACTGACGATGTCATGATCTAGGGTGCTAATCATGAAATTAGAAAGAATTAGGGGGAGAAATCGGGGATTGAATAAAAAATAGGGAGAAGTTAGGATTCTTGAAAAAGATGGGAAAACAGAGAAGGAAGAAGGAGGATAAAATCCAATCTGGAAATTTCTTATTTTCTGATCAATGATGATGTTTATAACTTTTACCCCGAACTATATAGTCTGACTCACTTATGACATTTAAGCCAAAGTCCCTATACAATCACTATCTACAAATAGACCCCCAGTTCATGACAACTCCCTCACCCTTACAACAGTCTTGTCCCTAAGACTGTTACTACCAACTACAACTATTAGAAATGCTTAAACGACAATTATTACAATCACTGAAATGAATCAGCAACTAGAATTTAGTGCAAATAAATCGACACAAGTAACAAACTATACCACCAATACAGTAGGGCTATACCATAATGAAAGCTAAAACAGACAAGCTGTGGACTAACATCACAAAATAGAATCCAAAGGAGCAACAACTCTCAGCCCTTCCAGTAATTGTCCAGAGTCAGATCATTGACATCGACTACTTCACCATCAATCGTCCACAAGATGCTACCCGACTCTTCCTCTTTGTGAACATCCAAACAGCACATAATGTTGAACTCCCTCATCTTGCAGTTCTTATTATGACCTGGTTAGAGTTCTCCACATCTGTAACACAAACCATGGTTGATTCTATATTGAATCTCTTGCGGAACCAGCTTCTTCACATATCGATTTCCAGGATTCTTATGACCATTAAACTTGATATTGCCATTCACAGCACCATTTGGATTGTTCTTTTCCTTGTTTGATTGATTACCTACGCCAACTTGGTGATTCACAGTACCAGTACGATTTCCATTTCCTTGAGCAGAACCTACACTTGCCTCAACCTACATTCCTGATCCTCCATTTCGCTTATCACCACTACTGGCAGGATGTAAAATACTCTCAGGAAGACAACCAACCACAAAATCAAAATTTCTCTGCGGTGAATCCTTCCAATTGATCTTAGACAAAACAGCTAAATTTTGCTCTTGATACAAAGCAATATTAAAAAATAGCTGCCAAAGTCTTTGGTTGCCACATTCTCACAGTTGGTTTATTTCTTCTTTGGGGCCACTAACAAAACAGGATATATAATATGATTCATCAAACTAATATCCTAAATTCAATAACCTCGAACGAAGTTCCTCAATCTCTTGGTAATCAACAACACTACCCAACTGAACCAATTTACTAAACTCCTCAATACAATCTTGCCCCCCACGATTACCAAATCGTTGAATCAGGATATATAATATGATTCATCAAACTGATATCCTAAATTCATTCTAAGTAAGGTTAGCGTGAATGGACTTGATTCCTTGAAACCAAGTGTCGGCCTTCGCATCAAGGAAGAGTTCCACTACTTCCACTTTTTCAGCTTCTGAAATGCGATGAAGCAAGAAATACTTCCGGCATTTCCTCAGCGACTCCTCGGGGTTGTTGCCTTCCAAGGTTGGCAAATCTAAGCGAGGTTGTCGATACCACTGGTAATTTGGGTAGCCTCCATGTGTATTACAACTAGATTGACCTCCAAGAAACAACTCATTGGCGCGTGACCCTGTTTCTCTCCCCTCACGCACAGTGTTGACATGAGTGGCTGTTGTCTGGACAAAATCTCTCCTCACTGGTATTAATTGGACCACTGGAGTTAAAACTCCTTTCTCTAACCATGATTTGAGCGGAGCCTTTGACGGATCTGGATTGATCGGAATTAGCGGTGGCCTCTTGTCCACTGGAATTGCCGGCGGAATTGATTCAAGAATTGGAGCCTTATCCTGATTGCGATTTTCCAAAATCTTAATCAACTCCAGCAATTTCTTCTCCAGATCATTTCGAAACCTTGTCTCATTTTCTTCATGTTTCTTGTCAGATATTGCTTTGAAATCTCCAAAAAGACCTACCAACCTTTCTGTCAACGCTGTGAATTCACCCGTCAAACCGATGCGTAACTCCGCCACCTTGGTGTCATACTCCGTAGCCTTTGATTCGATCTTGCCATCGAGATCCCGGAATCGCTCTTCAAGGGTTTTCAATCGGACGGTCAATTCATCAATGAGAAGTGATAATTCCTTAGCGAATTCACCGTAGGAACTCTTAGACCTCGTCATTTCTAAAACGCAAAATCGAAAAATTTCAATTTTGGTGCGAATCGGGGAATGAAGAACTTTGCACAAAATTCAGAATTTAGAGCGGAAGAGAAGTAGAAGAATAGAAACAGTCCAAGGAAATGACTGCTTTTGATACCAATTTTCACGATCTAGGGTGGAAATCGTGAAATTAAAAAGAATCAGGGATTGAAATCAAGAATAGGGAGAAGTTAGGGTTCTTGAAAAAGAGGGGAACAGAGAACGAAGAAGGAGGATAAAATTCAATCTGGAAATTTCTTATTTCCTGATCAATGATAATGTTTACAACTTTTACCCCGAACTATATAGTCTGACTCACTTATTGCATTTACACCAAAGTCCCTATACAATCAGTATCTGCAAATAGACAACCAGGTCATGACAGACGAGTCCACATTCAATCCGAATTACTGGACCGGCCCGACCGCCGTATACGGCCCAGTCGATTGCCTGAGGCAGTTTAGGTGTATGATTCCTAATAGGATTCAGACATCCACAAGGTAATTCCATGCCTAAAAACAGAGGTGATCATGCCACAATCAAGGTACGCTATCTTTAGCACCAATTACTACATACATGTTGCTAAAACCCTTTTACTAACTTATGTTTCGGAGTGTCTACCCTCGGGAGACTTCCGAGGCCCTGTTTCATAGATAAACCCTACGGGAGTTCCACACCGAACCAGTGATCAAATCTAGACTTCGTCAAGTGGCACGGCCGCTGGGACTCGAAAACTAGGGTTTGTGTCACAGGCTTTCTCAACCCAGTGCAAATTAGGGTTTTTCTGATAACTCGGAGATGGGCGTAGTGGATGAGGACAAGTCAAGTACCGCGTCGTCTGGAAAGTGGTACAGTCTGATAACATAAAAATATATACACTTTTAGCAGTCATTTCTTACTCATTTATATTCATAATTTAGAGTCAATTGGTTAGGATTCGTTTACTTTTGGAGTGATTTTGCAGTTTAGGTATCTAGGAGGGCCAATATAGAAAATTAGCATAAAACAGGGCAACAATGCACAAAAAGGCATCAGAATGGATTGAAATGGAAGCTGCTGGAGGATCGATCAAAGCTGAAGCATGTGGAGAAATCCTTGCTGTGGAAGGAAGATTGATAGTAGATGGATTCAAGTGTAAGACTCTGTAGTAGCTACCTCAATAGAGGAAGAAGAAATGACAGTTGCTCTGCTACCAAGTTGCTGCTGCAGTTGCTGTTGCTGCTGTCAATGAGGAAGAGCCCAGGCTAAATTCTTGTTGCCAAATGAAGGAATTGCTTCGCCATCACTGCAAGTTATAGCTGCTGCAAGTTAAAGAAACGAAAGAGGGAGAATATGAGGAAAACAACAACTACAACTTTCTACTTACCTGCTGTGACTGCCGCTGCTGAATTGATGGATTACCTGGTGTAGTCAGGTGAGAAACTGTGTTGCAAGTGATCACAGGAAACAAGGAAGGAAAAGACAGAAAGATTTAGGCTGAATTGGTGGCTGAAACACAATGATGGAAGGAAGTATGCTGCTGATTCTGCTGCTTGCTAGTGCTGCTAATTGAGCTGCTGTGGATTAAAGAATGAAGAAATAGAGAATTGTGGAAGGAAATTGGAGAAACTGTGCCAGAGAAGAAAACTTAAAGAAGAAGACAATGATGAGAGGAAGGTGGCAAATTGCGGCTGGAGAGAAAGAGCAGCCAAAGAGAAGACTGCAGCCTCACCTTTCTGCTACAGAGAAGAAGGCCAGAGCTCGACCAATCTAAGCTTTTCAAAATCTCTATAAATATTCAGCCGATAGCAGTTTGAAAAATAACAGATTAGGTAGTTAGATTTCGTCAAAAAGATAGTAGTTAGGTTATTAGTTATTGGGATAGAAACAGGGTAACACTGTCAGTTTGTCCCTGCTACCATCTTCCCTTTCTTTCTTCTAACCTTTTGATCTAAATTCATGTCTTCTCTTTTGTACTTTGTTGCGCTTATGTTTAACTCAATAAACATGAGTAGCTAACTCAGTTAAGGGTTCAATCCCTACTATCGTTATGTGAAGTTTTCTATTCAATTTCCTTGATGAGGTGTTGTGCCTGGATAAAAAATTAAATTAAAGTTTTAATTAACTTGCCACTTAATTAAATGTGCTTCCATCATTATAAAGATCAGGAGGGGGGAGAATGACCTTAGAACTGCTTAATCTAGTCTATAACAATGGAGAAAATTTACTCTGCGGTTCCAAACATCTACGGAAGTTAGGTGAATGACATAGGCGATCAAAGAGGGTTTAAGAACTCAATGGCTAAGAATAATGAATTACTCTAACTGGAAGGTTTGTGATTTGGGTAATCTAGGACTCTTTATACTCTCTGGATGGAATTATAAAGAATATAAGTGCCTGATCGAACAACTAATCATACACAACAAGAATATTTGAATCAAAACTGGATCGTAAACGTAGGAAGGTGATTGACCCTTCTACTTCTTCACTCTGTCAAGTAACTATTTTTATTCTCCCAAGTGACAATCTGTTCAACTCATTTTCTTTCCTATCTGCACTTTAATCAAATTTGAGTAGTTGACTGGCGTCTCCGTGGAACGACTCTGCTTACCACTAGCTAATACTTTTAAATGCAAAAGTGCAAAAGTGCAACACTTGTCAGAAAGGAACTTCGAGCACCATGGCATCTGAGAATCTACCATGTCCCTCTTTAAGGGGATAAAGCTGCAATCACCCAGGGGAGTCCTCTGTTTTTCTTTTTCTGTTCTTTTCTTTTATCTACTATTTCATTTAATTAGGTCTATGTTTGTGTTTTTCTTTTTTGAGTCTATGTATCAAGAGTACTTAGGCTAGATTGAGTCAACTTTGTGTGATGATTTTTCTATTTTTGAGTTGAACTGCATTCCTGTGTCTTCCCCTGCATCTCTATTGTAAGCATTGGGGGCAATGCTTATTTTAAGCTTGGGGGAGGGATTTTCATGTGTTGCATGTTTTAAACTTTGACAGGATCATTTTGAAAAACAGAAAGAAACAAAAAAAAAAAAAAAATTTATGTGTGTTTATGAACAAGTTGTTGTACATACTTCGTCATAAGTCTAAGATGATTCAAAAAGTGCTGGAAATTTTGAAGTTTTGGACACTTGCTGATTCACTTGAAGTATAGTTCACTGTCCTTCACTTTCTTGAGCACGATATGTCACTTGCCAGAGTGAAGGTTCTGCATTTATTGTTAAAATCTGAATGCCTTAATAACATTGTTATGATCTTATACTGGAATCCACTTGTCTGAAACTTGGGGGGACTATAAACCTGAGTGAAGACTAAAGCAGCCCTTCGCATCATGGCAGACTCTATAAGAGGCCATGGTGGTCTGTAAAAGCCTAAAAACCTTGGGAATGGGGAACGATAGGTGGTTGAAATGAGCTGAAAAGAAAAAAAATAAAGTTAGGGAAGTTAGGAAGGCTGTCCAATGAGGCAGTAATAACCCTGAGTGTTTAGGTTTGGCAAATAAGTAGAGAGAGTTCTCAGGACTAGTGAGGAAATATGAAAAAAATAAATAAACTACCCTATGTTGCTGAGCGACTATGACTAAATACTATATGGAAAAATGCTCAGGGTAGGGGCTTGAGTGGAAAAGATCCAGAAGAAAAGCCATATGGACAATGAGAAAAAGGGCATGACGGTGAAAAAGAGGCAGCCAATGTTGCTGCAGAATCTGTTAGGAAGTCCATATAATCTAAAAATCTCAGTAAGCATACCCTGGTCGATGGCATACAGGAAATAGGTACCGATCACAATGTTGTCCTTTTTGTTATGAAATTGATTAATTCTTAGAATGGATGATAGGTAAAACTTGAACTTTGGCTGTGATATATGCACAACCACACACCGCAGAATTGCGTTGCTACCTTCATGTGATGAACTATGGTGTATAATCTCTCCTCTAAGGAGCTTGAATCTGAGACTAACATTCATGCAATATTGTATTTGATCTTGTTCATTTAGCCACATTCTTTTCCGATCACAGTCATTTAACTTATTCATGAAAAAAAATAAAAATTTCATTCCTCTTTTCTGAGTCTTTAAACAAGTCCTGCTGTCTGTTAGGTCAGTAGGAATGAAGTATGAGTTGTTTGCTTTAAGATCAATGAACCTTTCAAGGCTAAGGTTTTGTTAAGGACAAGCAACACGTCAAGTTTGGGGAATCTGATAACATAAAAATATATATACTTTTAGCAGTCATTTCTTACTCATTTCTACTTACAATTTAGTGTCAATTAGTTAATATTAGTTACTTTTGTGGTGATTTTGCAGTTCAGGTATCTCGACGGGCCAATGTGGAAAATAAGCAGGAAAGAGGGCTAAATGGCACAAAAAGGCATCAAAATGGACTCGAATGGAAGCTGCTAAAAATTGAGCTGCTGGAGTATTGATCAGAGCTCAAGCAAGTGGAGAAATCCTTGTTGTGAAAGGAAGATTGATAGCAGATGGATTCAAGTGGAAGACTCTACAATACCTACCTCAATACAGGAAGAAGAAATGGCAGTTGTTCTGCTGCCAAGTTGCTGCTGCAGTTACTGTTGCTGCTGTCAATGAGGAAGAGCTAAGGCGGAATTCTTGCTGCCAAAGGAAGGAATTGCTTCGCCATGAGTGCAAGTTATAGCTTCTGTAAGTTGAAGAAGGGAGAGAGGGAGAGTATGTGGAAAACAGCAGCTACAACCTGCAACTTACCTGCTGTGACTGCTGCTGTTGAATTGATGGATTGGCTGCTGCAGTCAGGTGAGAAATGGTGTTGGAATTAATCATAGGAAACGAGGAAGGAAGAGGCAGAAAGATTTAGGATGAATTGGGGGCTGAACCACAATTATGGAAGGAAGCTTGCTGCTGATGCTTCTTGGTACTACTGCTAGTTGAGCTGCTGTGGATTAAAGAATGAAGAAATCAAGATTTGTGGCTGGAAATTGGAGAAACTGCACCACAGAAGAATACTAAACGAAGAATGC